GAAATTGCATTTTGAAGTTTCAGTTTTCGGATTTTGATTTATGTAAGAAGAAAGATTGATATTTCAGAAAATAATAACTAAAAGTTTTTAGTGCCCAGTTTTCTGATGATCCTTGAATTGATAAAATGAAAATGAGGTCTTTTGAAATTGAAAAAAAAAGAAAATTGAAAAGAGAAGAGACAAACAATTTAAGAATTAGCAAGGAAAACGGGAAATTTCAACACTGATAAGAATAAAATTGCCGTCGCAACCCTGGTTGCTCACAACAATATCAGATTACTGTATGCGCCTTTAAACAAGCATTATAAGTTCTCATGGGATATAAATAGGTCGTGTTTGGGCTCATTTTGAAGGAAATTCGGCGCTTAATTTGAATTTTAAACATTTAAATCTTGAAAATGGTCCGTTTTACATATTCCGGGCTCTAATCCTCCACTATCTCCTCACCAGTGATCACAAGATAACCACTGACCTTGAAGGGATGAATCACCAAAACGAGAGAGTAGAAATTGCTGGAGAGACGCAGAGAAAAAAGAAAACACATATAAAAAGGCAAAAAAACAGCATTCATTTTATATGTGTTTCCCTCGGCTATGTGTCTTTTAATGGCCTCTAACTATTGATTTTTTCGAAATTTGTGAGTTTTCAGAGCAAAAAATTGTAATTCCAGACAAGAAATACTTCTAGATAGCCTTTCTTGATGACCACCTACTGGATGAAGGTCTCCAATTTAATTGATTTTTCTGAAAATTGTGCGGTTTTTGAGTTTTTGAAAATTTCGCAATTTCAAAAAATCACAAGGAGGAGAGTGGTTAGAGACAATACGGAAAAATGGAAAATGTTCTCATTTTTGTGTGTTTTCTAATCGCCTCTATTGATTTTTTTTTTGAATAATTTGAAATGAAAAAAAAAAGATTTTTTAAAATTGAAATTTTCAGATTTCCCATGATGGCTTCGTGTGTAGACGCCTCGAATAAATTTGGATTTTCGCTGAAAATTGAAAGAAAATTCGGTAAGTTTTAAAAGAAAATTTCAGCCAAATTTTCCCAATTTTTCAGATTCTTCTTCTCCATGGATTCGTGTTTTTAGAAGCCTCCAGAAGTTGTTGTGACCACGCTCACGAACCGCGCACACGCAATGGTATGGACATTGTCGACAACCTCTACAGAGAATCCTGGCAGCTCTATCTTCGCCTGGTTCAGCATAATTATGGATTTTTTAATCGCGTCCGAGCTATGTCTTTGCAAAACCAGGTAAATATATCTCCAGCACATGAAAACATTTATTTCAAATTTTTTCGATTTTCTAGAAAAATTGTAAAAAAATCAGACATGATTTGTGTCTATGATTTCTCAAATTTTGAGTGTTACTGGGCGATCATCGTAGTACTACGGTTTGTTGAAAATCAGAAAAAGAATCAAAATGTCTTGATCCCGAGAAGAAAATAGGTTATCAAATTTTGTAAAAAACCCTAATTTGCTTGTTCTTTTTCGTTTAATACCTTTTCAGCCGAAAAGAAAAATTTCTTTGATGGGTAAGCTCTGATTTTAAGGATCCGTAATTATGTGCATTCTGTCTGAAATGCTTTCAAATTACTAAAATATTGAAAAAGGGACGAGAGCTCTTTTGATCTGAAAACTGTCAGAAATCAATACTATTTGATTTGAAATCAATTGAAAACGTTTTTTAAATGGATATTTGATACTTCCGAGAAAATTTTTCTTGAAAATTATCACTGGAAAATCGCGAAGTCTTACATGTATTCTTTAGGGACCCATAGCCCAATGGACTTTGGTCCAATTTTTTTCTAAATTAAATTCTTGAGTCTAAAATCGAAAACGCTTTGAAATGATACCAAACATGACTAGGTTTAAAAATTTTGGAATTTTCCCGAATTTCTGGAATTTTCCAAAATTTTCAGATTTCCCAGAAAAATCGAAAATTCTAGACTTCCTACTATCATTTTTTAGCTCTACACAAAAAACAGAAAACATTGCCACCAGTGGGATTCGAACCCGCGACCTTCAGATTGGTAGATTTCAATGAAAAATCCCACTCGGCCATCTGGACACTTTTTCGAAAATTGCTCAAAACATGAATTTTTCGGGGGTTTTAGGGGTGTTGGATAGTTTTAAATGGTTTTCAGCACTTTCAGAAACCTAAAAACAAGTTTTAATGCTGTTTCCGGCCCGAACACTGAAAAATGTAACTAAAAATCACAAAAAACGAAAAAAATGATATTTTTTAAAAAATTTCCAGAAAAAAAACCTAATTTGGTCTTACAGATATTTACCGCACTGTATTTTCCGATTTCTGAAAAACACCCGTTTTTCCGGTTTCTGCACAACAACGGGTTCGAAAAAAAAAGTTTCCAACCCCGGCAAGTAGCTGAAAATACTAGGAACTTTTGAAAATTTGTGAATGCAATGCTACCAGTTTTGGTCTGTTTACATTCTTCAAATTTTTCAAAATAGTCTTAAATTTGACAGCCGAGTCCCAGACTGCTGAAAGTGATCAAAATCGACTGAAACTATTGTTTTTGTAAGTTTTATTGCCTGATACTGTGAGAAACGTAGTTGAGAGTTCTAGTATAAAAAGTGAGGTGACCCAGTAGATCATTCAAAAAACCCGTAAAATGTAAATGAATTTTTTCGAACAGTTGTGAAAATGGACATTCAAAATCATAGAGAAAAAAGTTTCAATCCTGTGAAAAAGTCTTAAATTTGAGTCAGAAAATTCAATTTACAGATCAACGCAAATTCTACCATAAAAGTCGATGGTACATTACCGAAAGACGTTGTCAAGACCTGATGACGGAGAATGGAGAGATCATCTTCAAAACGGAGCTCAAACTTTCACCTGATCGTGAAATCCAGTTCGAAACTTGGCGGGGATTGGAAACCGGTTCTGTGGTTCTTCTACATGAAGACGAAAAGGGAAACAACGGGGCCTATGGGAGAGTGGTTCTCACCTCTCATCAAAAATCTTTAGTTTGCCTTTCCTATGGAAAATTAATAAATCTATTTTTATTGTTTTTTATCTATGAAGTATTATAAAAACTCGTATTTTCATTAAAAAACGATTTTTCCGGTTTTAAAAATGTCAAAAAAGCCCAAAAAACATCTTCCGATCCTTAAAAACCACCAAAAACCAATTTTAAGGCATTTTCCAAAAACGTGTACAGATGGCCGAGTGGGATTTTTCATGGAAATCTACCAATCTGAAGGTCACAGGTTCGAATCCCACTGGTCGCGTTTTTTTTTGTTTTTTTGTGAATAGAGCTAGAAAATGATATTAGGATGTCTGGAAATTTTTTTAAAAATATCATTTTTTCCGTTTTTTGTGATTTTTAGTTACATTTTTCAGTGTTCGAACCGGAAACAGCATTAAAACTTGTTTTTAGGTTTCTGAAAGTGCTGAAAACCATTTAAAACTATCCAACACCCCTAAAACCCCCGAAAAATTCATGTTTTGAGCATTTTTGCAAAAATCGTCCAGATGGCCGAGTGGGATTTTTCATTGAAATCTACCAATCTGAAGGTCGCGGGTTCGATTCCCACTGGTGGCAATGTTTTTTGTTTTTTGTGTGAGCTAAAAAATGATACTAGGAAGTCTAGAATTTTCGATTTTTCTGGGAAATCTGAAAATTTTGGAAAATTCCAGAAATTTGGGAAAATTCCAAAATTTTTAAACCTAGTCATGTTTGGTATCATTTTGAAGCGTTTTCGATTTTAGACTCAAAAATGTACTTTAGAAAAAAATTGGACCAAAGTCCATTGGGCTATGGGTCCCTAAAGAATACAAATTAGAGAGTGTGTGATTCGAGGAGGCGCAGAGACTCATTTTAACACACTCATCTGCTTCTTAAACAAACATTCAGAGATAAAGAGACGCAGAGTGAAAATTATGTAACAGTTAGAGAGTACTAGAAATGAGGAGAGTGGTTAGAGATAATTCAAAAAACGGGAAAATGTTCTCATTCTTATTCCTATTCTCCTCTACATGGCGGTGTGTCTTTTAACCGCCTCTGTATTGATTTTTTTTTGAAATTTGTAAGTTTTTGAATTTTTTGAATTTTTTGAAAAAAAATTAATTTTTTAAAATTGAAATTTTCAGATTCCCCATGATGGCGTCGTGTGTAGACGCCTCGAATAAATTTGGATTTTCGCTGAAAAGTAGAAAAAAATAACAAATTTTTATGAAAAAGGTGAGTTAGCTTTACTTGTTGCACACAAATTTTCATATTTCGAAATCGTAAAAAACTTGAAAAATGGTTTTTCAGACGAATTCGCAGGTTTTCCATCAAAGAAATGTCCTAAAGCGCTTTAAAAACCTCTCTAAACCCCCCAAAACCCCTTAAAATTTCATTTTTGAGCATTTTTGCAAAAACGTCCAGATGGCCGAGTGGGATTTTTCATTGAAATCTACCAATCTGAAGGGCGCAGGTTCGAATCCCACCGGTGGCATTTTTTTTGGTTTTTTGTGTGGACCTCAGAAATGATAGTGGGAAGTTTAGAATGTTCGATTTTTCTGGAAAATTTTGAAAATTTTCGGTTTTTTTTGAATTTCAGCACAAAATTTTCCGATTCTCCTGAAAAATCGGCATTTCTATACTTTCAATGATCATTTTCTAGCTCTACACAAAAAACAAAAAAAAATGCCACCGGTGGGTTTCGAACCCGCGACCTTCAGATTGGTAGAATTCCATGAAAAATCCCACTCGGCCATCTGAACACTTTTTAAGAAAATGCTCAAAATTTGGTTTTTAGGGGTTTCTAGAAGTGTTTCAGCGCGTTTTTGATGTTTTCGAACGTTAAAACCTCAAATTTTTCAGAGAAATCAGCAAAAAAGGGAAACCTTCTGGATGGATCACATACCAGAATCGACGGACAACTGCATGGAGACCCATTCGAGCTCATTTTGGTCGAGAAGAGTGGATGGAGCATTGAAGAAGGCGTCCGGTAAACAAAGAATACTCGGTCATCAAACAGCATCCATTCTGGTGGGTTTGCTGAAAAATGGTATTCTTAGATTATAAGTATTCCAGATCCACCCTCCTCCAGAGAATGTCGGTTATTGTCTCCATGCCATCAGAGCACAGGCTCACGAGATGATTGTGTTCACCAAAGAATCTCCCGAAATGAAGATTCCGAGTATGGAGATTGTTCCGGCCAATAGAGAATTTAAAAAAAACATTTACTCATTTCCTCCCGTTCAATTGCCCGGTCGTTATTTGAAATGAATATTTAAAGACCCTAAATTTTCAAAATTTTCCTTTTCTACACCTCAAATGAGCCTGCAACTACCATTTTTGAGGTCCACACAAAACTAAAAAAGTTTCAACCCCAGAAAGAATTGAACTTTTGGCCTTGTGGATCGTAAATATTGGTTCCAAAACCCACTGAGCCATTTGACACACTTTTTTGAAAATGGTGATTTTTAACGGTTTTTTGAGAACTTTCCGGGTTTTTCACTGATTTGAACCCGTTTTTTGTCTCTAGAAATGTCAGAATCCTAAAGTAGGAAGAATAATTTTTTTGAAATTTTTTCGAAATTTTTTTATCGAATTTTCTAAAAATATCATTTCCACACCTCTAATGACCCGAAGAAAGACATTTTTAACGTCCACACAAAAATCAAAAAGTTTTGACCCCAGAAGGAATCGAACTTGTTACCTTGTAAACCGTAAATTTTGATGCCAAAACCCACTGAGCCATTTGAGACACTTTTTTGAAAATAGCGATTTTTGACGGTTTTTCGGAGTTTCTGGCTTTGCTAAGTGGTTTTTATACGTTTTTTTATGTTCGGAAAAGTCAAAAAATTAAAAAAATTGCAACAAAATCTTGTTTCGAAATTTTTAGAAAAAATTTTTTTTTTGGATTTTCAGAGCTTTTTTTCAAAATTTCAGGTTTTACGGTAAATTGAGCTTTCAAATTCTATATATATATAAAATGAATCTAGTTTGATCATTTTCTTCAGAAATTCAAAGAAATTTAGAAGCTTTCTCCTGCTCATTGAGCAACACTATAATTTTCGAAATTTCTCGAAATTTCCAAAAATTTGGAAAATTCCAAAATCCAAATAACATTCTTCGTAGTGTCTCTAGTTTGATCACATTTTCCATTTCCTCAAAAATCTCAAAGAATTTCGAAATTTAAAAATTTCCACCTGCTCATTAGGTACCAAACATCATCCTCTCAAATTCCGAAATTCCCATAATTTTAGGTTTCCGAAATTTTCTCGAAATTTCCAAAATTTTGGAAATCCCACCTGCTCATTAGGCACCAAATTTTCCCATAAATTTTTCAGATAAAACTATCAATTAACTATACGAAAACGACATTTTGGAGGAGTACTGTAGGCTCCGCCCACTTTTAAGGAGGCGGAGCCTATAACCCTATAAAATGCTCGGTGAGCCCATGGAAAATTCATAGAATTCCCTCTTTTTTGGCGCAATTCTGAATTTGAGCCTATTTTGAATTTATTCTTGATTTTTCTGAATTTTATTTGGCTGAAATTCTGAAATAAAAGTAAGTTTAAAAAATATGTTTTGGGAGGAAATTCTGGAATTTTAAGATTTTTCAATTTTTTGGCTTTTTTGGAATTTTTTCCAAATTTTGAGCTTTTTCAAAAGTGATTATGTCCTTGAATTAGCTAATTTTCAGAATTTTCAACAAAAAAAAACCATTATTTGGTGTGCACCTGCCTTTTTTGGAACATTTTTGGAGGAATTTTGAAATTGTAAATAAGAAATTTCCAAAAGTATCAATTCTGCATCTCAAATGTGCCTAAAACTATCATTTCTGAAATCCACACGAAAATAAAAAAAGTTTCGACCCCAAAAGGAATTGAACTTTTGACCTTGTGGACCATAGACTTTGGTGCCAAAACCCACTGAGCCATTTGAGACACTTTTTGGAAAATGGTGATTTTTAACGGTTTTTTGAGAACTTTCCGGGTTTTTTACTGATTTGAAACCGTTTTTTGTCTCTAGAAATGTCAGAATCCCAAAGCAGGAAGAATATATTTTTTGAAATTTTTTCGAAATTTTTTTTTCGAATTTTCCAAAAATATCATTTCCACACCTCTAATGACCCGAAGAAAGACATTTTTAACGTCCACACAAAAATCAAAAAGTTTTGACCCCAGAAGAAATTGAACTTGTTACCTTGTAAACCGTAAATTTTGATGCCAAAACCCACTGAGCCATTTGAGACACTTTTTTGAAAATATTTTGACCGTTTTTCTTTGTTTCTAGGAGTTTTTATACTATTTTTGCAGTTTTTAGGCGTTTTTCGTGTTTAACAATGCCAATGATCAAAAATCAATGAAAGACATTTTGAAAAACTTTTTTTTTCCAAGTTTTCAAAAAACTTAATTCTACACCTCAAACGTGCCTAAAACTATCATTTTTGAGGTCCACACAAAAATCAAAAAATTTTGACTCCTGAAGGAATCGAACTTCTGGCCTTGTGGACCTTAAATTTCGGTGCCAAAACCCATTGAGCCAGTTGGGACACATTATTGGAAATTTACTATTTTGATCGGTTTTTCATTGTTTCTTGGAGTTTTAAAGCTATTTTTGCAGTTTTAAGGCGTTTTTCGTGTTTAACATTGCCAGGAATGATCAAAAATCGCAAAGAACTTTTTTTGAAAAATATTTTGAAAAACTTTTCTTCCAAATTTTCGAAAATCTAATTTCTACATCTCAAATTGGTCCAAAACTATCATTTTTGTGGTCCACACAAAAATCAAAAAATTTTGACACCTGAAGGAATCGAACTTCTGGCCTTGTGGACCTTAAATTTCGGTGCCAAAACCCACTGAGCCATTTGGAACACTTTTTTGAAAACGGTCATTTTTGACGGTTTTTTGAGATTTTAGACAATTTTTAGCGGTTTTTGAGCGTTTTTCGTGTCTAGAAATGGCAAAAATTACATTTTAAAGCACTTTTCCAGAACATCGGTCTACAGTATATCTTCTCAAAGGATTGGTCAGATGTGGCAGCAAACCCAGTGAGTGTAAAAAAATTAGATTTTAAATAATTATTCATTTATCAGAAAGTAAGTGCAGCCGTCATTGGCAAATCAGAAAAATAGAAACCAGTAGCTCCTTGTTCTAAATAGAGTGGCGCAAGTCGAGGTAATTAAAAAAAATTTTCTCAAATTTTTAAAAATCTAATTTCTACATCTCAAAAGTGCCTAAAACCATCATTTTTGAGGTCCACACAAAAAGCAAAAAACTTTGACCCTAGAAGGAATTGAACTTTTGACCTTCTGGATCTTAGATTTTGGTGCCAAAACCCACTGAGCCATTTGGCACACTTTTTTGAAAATGACGAATTTTGACGGTTTTTTGAGGTTTTAATCAATATTTAGCGGTTTTCAAGCGTTTTTCGTGTCTAAAAATCTTTTAAACCACACTTGAAGCAGATTTTGGCACTCAATTAGACAATTTTTCAGATCAAAATGGGCAGCTGTGCATCACAAAACAGTCACCGTCGAGCATCAAGCGCAGAAGTAAGTAATTCAATTCTCAATTATTTTTTCTACAGTATCCCTTTTCAGATCGGCCGACCACCAGCCGCAACTTGGCAGCCAATGGTGCACGGCAGTTTGCAGTGGTGAATGGCTGACATTGAGGTAAAAATAGCTGACATTGAGGTAATTTTAAAAACTGATTCTTTAATTCTGAACATCAACTACCTTTACTTAAAAAAAACAGCAAAATCTAAAAATCTCAATTGAACAAAAAATAGCAAAAAAAATTTTTCAAAAATTTTTTTCTCCAAAATTCTCAAAAATCTCATTTCTACACCTCAAATGGGTCTAAAACTGTCATTTTCGAGGTCCTCACAAAAATAAAAAAGTTTTTACCACAGAAGGAATCGAACTTTTAACCTTGTGGACCGTAAATTTTTGTGCCAAAACCCACTGAGCCATTTGAGACATTTTTTGAAAATAGCGATTTTTACGGTTTTTTTCAAGGTTTTAGACAATTGTTAGCGGTTTTGGAGCGTTTTTCATGTCTAGAAATCCCAAAACCAATCAAAAATTGCGATTTTTCTCGAAAAGTCTTAATTATTCATTTTTCAGAAGCGCACCAGGCAACTCTCAAGAGATAATTGAAAGTTTTTTTTAAATAAACATTTTCCATTCAATAAACCAATTTATTTTTATCAATTCTTATTCTCCACACTGAGAGCTACAAAATGAGCCCAAACACGACATATTTCTGAAAATTTCAGATTTCACAGATTTTCAGATTTTTCAGAAAATCGATCATAACTTCCTTCAAAATTGTTTTTTTTTCTGATTTCGGTTTCTAAATTCGTCATTGTTAAGTCGAGTCTAGGTTAAAATTTTTCAGATTTCGGCATAAAATCGGCCTAAAAATCCGATTTTTCCGAAACTAGGCTTGTTTATACTCATTTCGAAGCTCAAAACAAATTGAATTAGCATCTCATTTTTTCAAATTTCAGAACATCAGATTATGGCCTGAAAAGCCCGAAAAGGGGGCCCAAAAGCCGAAAAACGCGGTTTTCAGGACCTAGGCTTTTTTATACTCATTTTGAAGCTAAAAACTTTAAATTAAATTTGGTAAAACTAGTGAAAATCAAATTTGATTGTTCACAATTTATTAAAATCGATGGATCAATCAAAGAGGGGAAAAGGAATTAGGAGCTTTTGATTTTTGGGCCGGAAACAATCAATTAAACGGAAAAAATCGAGATTCTGTGGAGATATTTCAAAAATTAAAAAAAAATTATTGAGATTTTTTTTTTCAAAATTTTTTTTGGGTCAGAGGGGAGGGAAAAGTTACAGAAAAAAAAACACGAAAAAATCGCATATTTTGAACAGGAAGGCATTTTTTGGGATTTCGGATCAATCATTCGCTTTTGACTTCAACTTTTACTTCAACTTGGTCAACGCTTCGGGCCAACCAGTCCATGCACTCCTCGGCCTCCTTTTCCGAGTGGTTCGGGATCACGTAGTCCTCTCGACGCTTGTAGTACTGGTCGACGTTGGCCTCCAGGTATTTGATGAACTTCTTGAATCCAGCGAGAAGAAGCTGAAAAAAACCGAAAATTTGAATTTTTTTTTGAATCCTTTGAAACCACCGTAACATTTCGAAATTTGAGTATTTTGATTTGAAACTATGAAATTGTAACTTATCTCGTCAAGAGCTTTGAAATAAATATAAACAAGCCTAGGTTTGGTGCAACTTGAATTTCGACCGTTTCGGCCGCTTTGGTCCAAACGGTCGAAATTCAAAATCACAAAACCTAGATATGTTTATACTCATTTTAAAGCTCTTGATTTGCAAAACTCAAATTTTTTCAACAAAAACTCAATTAGTCGAGTTTGGACCAAGTTATAGGCAATTTTCAAAAATCCGTCATTTTTCGAAGTAGGCCGAAATTCGTCTAAAATGGCTTGTTTTGGATTCGATATAATTTTTATTGTTTTTTAAACGATGAGAGCTTCAGAATGAGTATAAACAAGCCTAGGTTTGGCGCAACTCGAATTTCGCCCGTTTCGACCAATTTTCGGCCGATTTTTTGGCCGAAATCCAATATTTTCAGAACCCAGGCTTGTTTATACTCATTTTGAAGCTTTCATTCTGCAAAAATCAATTCCTCTAACACAAACTGGATACGTCAACGTTGAACCCAGTTATGGTCAATTTTCAGAAAATCCTATATTTTTCGAAATAGGCCGGATTCGGCTGAAGTGGCCTGTTTTCGGTTTCAAGTAGTTTTCTCACTTCGGAAACATCAAGAGTTTTAAAATGAGTATAAACACGCCTAGGTTTGG